AAGTCTAAGGACTGATTACTGGAGGAAAGGATTTCTATTTTTGTTTCCACAGAAAATGAAAAGCTGTGAATTCCTTCCAGATTAACATGGTTTGATCAAGCAAGACCCTCTGAAGCAGTGTCCCAGGTGATCCACCATTCAAAACAGCTGGGACAAGCTAGCCTTGCAGACCACTATAGCCAGGATTTCTGAATCTTCTTAGGCTCCCCATGACAGTGCCCCCTACTAGCAGGAAGCAGTTTGGAAAGAACGATGCCCAAATTCCCAAACATCGTTTATAAATGTTTGTATTCATTTAAATGGGGTTGGTTATAAATTGTGCTTGCTATCAAATGTAACAACTTGAGTTAGATTCTTAAGATCTATATGGTGGGGGTTCAAGGTGACCTATGTGGAAGGGAGAGCCGGGTGCAGTGCCTGTAAGCTGTGGAAGTGAAGCCTTGATGTTCTGGAGCAAGGGTGTCAGGCTGAAGCTGGACCAGGAGGATTTGAAGCAGAAGATGCATGAGGATGTGATCTCCATTCAGAGCTTTGATCTATGTGGCTCTGCTATGAGTCATACCATATATCTTAAAGCTTATGAAGATTGGGAGTCATATGTGGATGCATGACATGAAGAACCTTGTGACAGTTTCAACTGTCTATATGTGACTTGGCATAAAAAGTTAGAAGGGTGATTGACTGGAAATATAAATTCCATCTGTTAAGAACCAGTTGGATTGTGGGAGCTGACATTCATAGCTGAAATATACAACCATTTAGAAAGTGCAAAAGGATGTCTTGTGGTAGGTGTCTACTTTTGTGTTATGGAATTGTAAGTAATATCAATCTCTAAGGGGATTATACCTGAAATGGTGCTGTCTTGGCAGTCATTTCTGTTTAGATCTCTACTTCTGTTCCGAATGTATTTGTTAAGAGTTTGCATGTAATCACAATGACATTTAAACACAGGACTATCAGTCCATATTTTTAGTAAATGAAAGATGAAAGAAAAAACATCCAAGTGGTGGAAGAAGAGACTCAATTTCTGCAAGCTGCCTTCTGACCTATATAAACATGCTATGACCAAAGTGTTGGTGGCACACTCCTTTAATCCCAGAATTCGGGAGGCAGAGGCAGGCAGATCTCTGTGAGTTTGAGGCCAATTTGCTCTACAAAGCTAATTCAGATAGGCTCCAAAGCAATACAGAGAAACCCTGGCTTGAAAATCAAAAACAAAGAAGAACAAACATGCTATGGCATGTGTTGTGCTTTTGCTATAATCCTTGCCTAAGAAACACAAACATGAGACTCAGCACCCACGTGGAGTTTACTGATAGAGGGGAGAGAAGGGGGGATAGCTGGTGGCCAACTGAAAGCAGGAGGGGGGGCAGAGCAAGGAAGAGAAATAAGAGAGGTTCGCTTGGTGTGCTTGCTTTAAAAGGGAAACTTGCACACACGTAACCAGGTAAAGCTTGAGCTGCCAGGTAAAACCTGACATAGCGATGACATGGCCACGAGCGTCCCGCCCATCGTCGGGAGGTGGGGTCAGCAGACTGCTGGTTCCCAACAGCATGTACCATGTACCCAGACCTATACATACCCACACAAAATAAGTAAATAGTGCTAAAAAAATAAATTGATCATTCATTACCCATGTTTAATTGCTTCCTGGTCATTATCCATCCAGACTAGCTTGTCCTAAATTACCTTGTGGGTGAAACTGAAGTAATTTTTGGAACTTTTAAAAATCTCTCTCATATCCTGATTCTTCTAATCTGTCTCAGTGTGTGTGTGTGTGCGCGCGCACACATGTGCCAGTGTGTGTATGCACACACCATAAGTTGATTTGGTCAGGTGTCTTCCCCAATCACTCCACTATGTTGTTGAAGACAGGATCTCACTGAACCTGAAACTTGTCAATTTGGCTAAACTTCCTGACCAGAGAGCCTCCCGTCTCTGTCTCCCCAGTGCTGGGCTTAGAGGAAAATACCACTATGCCTGCCTTTTTCACATGAGTCCTAAGACTGAACTCAGGTCCTCATGCTTACTCAAACACATTACTCACTGAGTTATCCCCCTAGCCTACATTCTGGTTCTTAAAGAGGTTCAAATCCATTTCACATTACCATACCCCTCTCTGCCCATGATAGAATCCACTCTGGTGTGCTTATTCTTAATGGTTACTTAACATCCATTCTTGCCTTAGTCCACCCCTCACAATCTGGTCCTAACCTCACTCTCTTCTATCCTTAGGTCATAGCATTGGGGGACTCCTCAAGATTGGGACAAATCAGCAAACACTGGGTCCTTTTTATTTTATTTTAGCCTTCTTAGAGTCTATCAAAACAAGTCATCACCAGAGATACTGAGAAAAATTTCAATTACATTCACACCTGAGTATGCTTACTGGCTCCAATTCTCCCATTGTTATGGTAAGCAAAACTGAACACTTAAGTGCTGAGGCACAAATGTGAGTAAAACGATCCTGAGTTCAGTCAGAATCCAACCCTGTGGAGTGAGGAAGGAGCAAAGACCTATATGAAGAAAGAACTTTGATCTTATAGTGTGGCACTCAGAGAACAGGATTATGCTATTTAAAGATGTCTGTACCATCTAAACTGTCCACACTGGAGGCTCTTAACTATATTTGGTTAAGAAAATGGTTTACATTTTGTACTAATGTTTTGAAAGCTTTCATTTCTCTGTCTTGAGATAGGGCCTCAAATATCCCTGGCTGGCCTGGAACTCACAGAGATTTGTCTGCCTCTACCTCCTGAGTGCTGGGACTAAAGGTACACACCACCTCACCTGATTCCAGTCAGGTTCTTACTCTAGCCTACGTTAGCCTGCAGCACTTTACCCAACAAAAATTCCATTTTTTTTTTTTTTCATTCCCTTAATCCCCTTGAAGGTAAGATTTTGAAGCCAATACTAAAGCAATTGTGGTAGTGAAACTGTAGTGACTGACAGACTCTTACTCCATGTCCCCTACCACCCAACCAAACATAAAGATCACTTCTCCTTTCTAGCAGCTGCTATCCCAGATAGTCCCCTTTAAAAACGTTTATCTCATTGTAAATACAGGTGCATGCATATCATAGTTTATAAGTTGAGGTCAAAGGACAACTGTCTTTTTGTTTTTGAAGTTTGTCCATGTAGCCCTGACTGTCTTGGAACTTGTTCTATAGACCAGGTCAGCTTTCAACTGAGAGATCGATCTGTAGTGGACAACTTTTATTTCTACTTTGTGTATGTTGTGTATACCTGCTTATCTGTATGTGTATCACATAAGTGCAAGTGCCCTTTTGAGGCCAGAAGTGGTTGTTGGATCCCTGAAACTGGAGTTACAGATAGTTATGAGCTGCCCATTGTGGGTGCTGGGAACTAAACCCAGGTCTCTTCAAGAGCAGCAAGTGCTCTTCATGCTCAGCCATCTCTCCTGCTCTGAAAAAATGTCTTTCAGGAGTTGGTCCTCACCTTCCCATGGTGGCACAAGAATCAAATTCAGGTGGTCAGACTTGCATAGAAAGCACTTTTACCCTGAGCCATCTTGCCAGATTCCATCTTGAATCAGTGGCATTTTCCCACCTTGCCTTGCATTCTTGCCTGTAAAATTAGCCACTCACAGTATTTCTGAGATTAAATGCTGCTGTTTATTTCCATTTCTGATCAAACAAGTTCCAGTTTGGTTTTTTTTTTCTTCTTCTTCTTCTTCTTTTTTTTCTTCTTCTTATATAAAGGGGAGTGGGAGAGAAAAGAGGTAAAGAGACATAGAGACATTGGGAGCAGAAAATAAGAGAGCTAAGTTCCAGTTTTTATCATGTGGATCCAATCTACCTTTTACTTTTGTTTTCTTCTTGGCTTTGTATGTCCCAACAGGCTTTGCATTTCCTAACTAGGACAGTTGTAGTGAGATATCCACCCCACCTGCACCTGTTGCACTGACCACAGCCCTTGGGGTTGTGCCGGGGGAAGGTAGGTCTGGGGTCCTGGACCCCAGCTCAATATCTGGGTGGCATCCTTGGAGGGGGGACCTGTAGCAGTCATGTTTCAGGTGTAAGTGATTTTCTCCCCAATAAACATCATTCAACCTATACTGTGTTCCAGTGAATCTTGTTTCCCATGTGATGGACACTCTGCTCAACCCAGTTTAGGTAGGATCAAGAACCACATGGGACAGGACATCTGGATTGACAGAAGCTACATGCTCCCACCTAAGTATGGAGATTATCTTTGTACCATGAAGTGACAGGGTAAGACAAAGAAACTACTTGCTGAGTTCTTAACACAGTCTCTTTCACTTTATATTCTGCTAACATTTGTTGAACCAAAATGGTTTGTGTGCCTGCACATTCCAGCACACAGCTGGGCTCTGTGGGGAAAGGCAATTGCTGCCAAGCCTGAACCCAGAACCCAGATGGTGAAAGTAGAGAACCAACTCCTCCAGGTTGTCCCCTAACCTCCATGTACTTACTTACCATGGTATGCATTTAAATGTACAACTGCACACACAATAAACATTTAAAAAAAAAAAAAAAGAGCTACACAATCAGTCCTAAACAAGACATTTATACCATTCCTTGGAAGGCTCAGGGAATGTTGCAGAAGAGGGTAGAAACAATTATAAGAGCCAGAATGGAGGAGGGCTGGGAAATGACATTGTCTGGGCAGATATAGCCCTCATAATCATAACTCTGAATTACTAGTAATGTCCATAATATGTCTGCACAGGAATAGGACAGTCAATAGCGAGGCGTTGATGGAGGAGGGGCCTGGGAGCCCCATCCCTCAGTGTGGGACTGGTTTGTTGATAGATTCAGAAAAAGGGAGCATAGTTGCAAAACCACTAATGATCCCAGCAGACTCCAGTGGAAATCACTGGTTTAACTAAATGAGACTGGTAGCGATGGAGGTGGGGTGTAAAGGAGTGGGAAAGACATAAGGTGTGTGTATGGAACAACCATAATGTATTATATATAACCACAAAATTGTCCAAGAACTAAAAAAGAATATACACATTGTTTATGTAAAAATTTATTTGACCAAAATGTAGAAAAAGTGGTATTATCACATATACAATTGCAAGAATCTAAAGAACAGAGTAGGTTTTATTCAATTGCACAGTTTGCTAAAAGTTCATCTTCCTGGTAGTGTGATGCTTAATAAATAGGAGTGAGGGGCAGGGGTTCAGATAAGCTAGAAGCAGGGTAATTTTCAGTTGGAATTGTAAACTCAAGTTGTCCCCACACTGCTAGGGCATGTGGAATGTTTCAGTCTGAGATGGTAACTTAGAAAGCAAAACTACAACAACCCCCCAAAAATGTGCAGCCTACAGAATACTCCCATCCAGTTCAATCAGGAGTTTCTTGGTCTTGTACTAGTGTCATTCCCGAAGGAATTCAAGTCTTGGCAAAGTCAAGCTTCTGTTTGTTGTTCCCTGAACAATGGAGATGAAGTTAAACCAACTTCTTTTTCTACATTTTGCTGCTGGAACAACCTTGTTTTTCACCCCAACTGTAGATATTAGAACAGTCTACTCAATGTATTGATGACCAGCAGTCTTTTTGTTTACTATTCAAGACAGGACCTCACTCTGTAGACCAGGCTGGCCTGGAACTTAAAGACCCTCCTGCCTCTGCCTCCTGAGTGCTGGGACTAAAGGTGTGCACCAATGTGCCTGGCTTTGCTAGCAGTATTTGACATGGTTGATCTGGAAAGTATTGGATTTTGCCACTGGCTCTATTGAGCATGTCATTAGATCATAGCAGATAAGTCCTGGAATAAGACACTTGCTCCTCAGAGAACAATTTTGGAATAAAAGAAAAAAGTGCATGGAACAATATCAAGGCTTTCCTGGAAGACAGATGGGCAATCACCTCAGCGTCCCACTTGGAATGCTTAAAGGAAGTTTGTTCTGCACAGTGGAGTGTGGAGCTGACTCAGCATGATCATGCCTATCTAGCTATGGCTTGACTTCCATACTAGCCTGTTTTTAATTTTTGTTCTGGGTGGAAAATTCCCACTTTTTCTTATAACACCCCCAGCCTCCCATAACTTCTCCAACAGCGACCAGATACTATCAGATATTTGAGCCTGTGTTTGAAAGTATGGAGCTGACTAATTCCCAGGAACCAAATTCCCTCAGCCTTAAGCAACTACACTCAGTGTGAAATTCCCTGCCTATTTTAGGAATAAATGCAATTTAAGAATGAGAATAGCTGAAGAAGCTGGTGACATTGAAAGGAAAAGGAAAGAAAATTAAATGGTGCTCAAAGCTTGTCTGATACAAAATATTTGGTCATGAATTCATTATGTGCTTGGCATTTTCAACAAGGTGAAGACACAGTAACAAGAGGAACTTCTTACAAGAGAGGAAGACATGGCATACTCTCTGGAGTCGTTGGTGTCAGAACACAGGACTCTTCTGGTTTGGGTTATATACAGTTAAGTTCATTTAGTGTCTGATCCAGTGTCTGATGTAAGCCCACATTCTCTTCTTTGGCCTGGGCAAGTTTTTCTATTAAGGATTAAGACAGGAAGGAAAAATGAATTAATAAGCATTTTTGTTATAGGAAGGAAAAGGGGGCCACCTCAAACTGTCAGTGAAAGTTACAGTTAAAAAAGTACTTCTGTTCAGACCACACAGAACACCACGGAGTAACAGGGATCAAGGACCAAACAAGATAAAATATGGATTATTAGGCTGGGCTTTGAATCCCAGATCTCAGGAGGCAGCAAGTTCCAGGCTAGCAAGAGCTGTGTAGTTAGTTAGATCCTGTCTCCAAAACAAAAATGTCTAGAAACAGCCTGGCTTTGTGGTATATACCTGACACTCCAGCACCTAGAAGACTTAGGCAGGAGGTTCAGGAGTCTGAGGTCATCCTGGGCTAGGCTTCATGTGACCTTGTTTCATGTGCCCAACCCAAAGAAAAACCTTAACTTGGTAGAAATTCTCATCAAGAAAAGGCACTTGTTGCCAGGCATGATAATCAGGTTTTTTTTTTTTTGAGACAGGGTTTTTTCCATGTGGCCCTGGCTGTCCTGGAACTCGTTCTGAAGACCAGAGATCTACCTGCCTCTGCCTTCTGAGTCCTGGGATTAAAGGTGTGCATCCGTCCCTTCCGTAATACCCCTGGGATTCACATAGTGGAAGGAAGAGAAGTGACTCCTACAACCTGTTTTCTGACCTCCACACATACACTGCAGCACATGAGCACCTCCCCCACAAACATACAAAGTACAAATAAAATTAACATCCCAAATGTTTCACAAGATGAACTGCACAAAACCGAAATTCTTTGCCTTGCTGACACTCAAATTTGACCTACTGCCCTGTATTTTCCTTTGCTAAATCCAGCAATCCTTGAGCCAGGGCACTTGGACTGAAGCCCTAAGCTGTACAATTAGAATGAGCCATTTAACTTTTGCAGGTCTGTTTGCCCATCTGAAATGGAGAGAATAACACCTGTGAGTATGATGTTAGGAGAACTAACTGGGACATGCTTCAGAACTCAAGAGATACTGTACACATACAAGATTTTGGTCCCAGAGACATTTGTTAGGAAAGTGTCTGGGAGTGACTGCTGTAATCCCAGGCATACAGTGCTCTCTATCTGTGTGCCTCTGGCAATGGAGTCAAATCCCAGGTAAATGATGTAAGACTGAAACCTAAGTTAGACTACAGGCAAAGTATTCCATAACTGAGCTGGTTAAATAAAATTTAAAAAAGATTTGGTGGTTTGTGAGATGGGCAAGGTTCCTGCTGCCAAGCCTGAAGACCTGAGTTGCATCCCCAAGACCTACACGGGAGGAGAAACTTGATACCACTGCGTGCTCTCTTCATCCCCAAGTAAGTAAATAAATATAATAATTTGAAAAAGTCATTGAAAGCTGTGCATGATCAAGCAGGAGAGAACACTGGTTTGTGTGAGCAATGGCTCATAACGATCAGGCCAGGAAGAAAGTGAAAGTCCTCCTAAACTGTGATAGGATCAACCTGCAATTTTTCAGAAAGAAAAACACCTTATACTGCAGAAGATGAAAGCCTCTCTATAGCCACAGTAGCTTTTGTGTGACAAATTACTGTGACTGGCCCATGTTAACTGCATTCTCCTGGGAGCCATGTTTTTAGACAACTCTCCTTGTAATCCAGACTGCATGTTTGTTTAAAAGAAAAGCTCTTGTAGGGCTCTAGCAGAATGATCAGACAGGAAGGGATGGTTATTTCAAAGGGTGGAGGCTAGTCATGTCTGGAAAAAATCTCAGGGAAATGTAGAGCAAACAACAAAAGCACTCCACCCCCTTGTAAGTTCTGTAATCTATCCCAAGGCGTATGCAAGACAAGGTATATAGGGCAGGGTTTACAAAATGCCCACCCCACCCCTCAAACAGGATTTCTGTGTAGTCCTGACTGTCCTGGAACTTGCTCTGTAGATCAGGCTGGCCTCAAGAGATCTGCCTGTTTCTGCCTCCCGAGAGCTGAGATTAAAGGCATGTGCCACCACCACCACCGCCCTGCTTATAAAATGGCTTAGGGTAAATGGCACATAGGAATGGAGAAGCTGGTGGTGGGGAGGGTAGAAAATATGAATCTTTACAAGGTTGGTCAGAGGTTAACCTTGGCTCCTGTGTCTAAGATGCCATCTACCTTTTTGTAAAATTTGCTGTGTGTGTATATGTACCTGTGTGTCTGAAAAATGTGTGTAGGTGCCTGCAGAGGCCAGAAGAGGGTGTCAGACCCTCTGGAGCTGGGGTTACATGTAGTTTGAACTACTTGGTCTGGACACTGGAAAATATACTTGGGTCCTTTGAAAGAGTAAGTGGTCTTAACCTTGTCTCCAGCTTCCTTTTTGAGACATGGTCTGTCACTGGCCAAAAACTCACTCAGTAGGCTAGACTAGATGGCCAACCAGCTCAAAGGATCTTATTTCCCTCCACCCCAGAACTGGCAGTACAAGCCCAAGTCACATCCTAGCCTTTTTACTTTGGTTACAGGGGGACTGAATTCCGGTCCTTATGCTTGAGAAGCAAGCACTTAACTGACCAAACAAAGTCCATATTTCAGGACTAATAATGAGGTATTGGTGGTGATAAGATTAGGAGAAAGCAAGACTTGAGGAACTCAGGGAAAACCCCCACTCTGTTGCCTCTCTCTGCCCACCCCCCTCAATGTGGGTACCCCTTGTGCACATGCAAAGGCCAGAGGCCCAATCACTCAGCCTTATGCCTGAGACAGGGTTTTACACCAAACCTGGAATAAGCAGGCAGCCAGTGAGTTCCAGTGATCCTCTCCATCACTATCTACCTGAGTGCTGGAGTTAGAGAATCGTGGAACTATGTCCATGTGGGGGCTAGGAATTTGAACTTAGATCTTCCTGCTTGTTCAGCAAGCACTCTTACTGAGTTATCTCTCTCCCCCGACCTCTTTTTGGGAGGGTATGTGTGAGATAGGTAGGATCTGGCTATGCTGCTCAGACTTCATATTCAAAATCTTCTCGCCTCAGCCTCTAAACGCCCAGGATCTTTTTTCCTTTGATTGCATCAGGTTCAGCTTCCTTGTACTGATAATGGGCATTACATCTTTTGTGTGGCTTTCTACTGGCAGGGTGTGGAGGTGACCCTTACCCTAGGACAGGGCACTGGCTGACTTCCCTAGACAGTGGAGACTCCAGTTATCATCCTCAGAGTTTAACAGAGAGAACAAGAGTTTAATACAGAGACCACAGCACTATTGCAACCACTTGGATTCATAGCCTGAACCCCAATCAAGGGCAGCCTTTTATTTGCTCATCCATCAGACACTCTCCACTAAGAAGTACTGACTGGGTTGCCACTTTGATTACCTACTGCTGTGTTTGAGAACTCCTGCCAGATTGGCTTTTGGAGTCATTTTCAGAAAAGAACTATGTGGGCCTCATTTTTCTTTAGGTAAAAAGAGCTCTACCTCTCAGCCCAGTCATGTCAAAGGCACCTGGCTCCAGCTCAAAGATGAGATGGTCTGTTGTCATTCCAGTCAGAGTCTGACACATGGGAAAAGGCTAAAGTTCATACCAGGAGGTGAGTTCCTGGAGCTCCTAGGCACCAGAGGCAGGAGGCCACCTGGAGATGGCTACAACCCAACGTGGCACCTGGTGGCCTCAGAAAGGTTTTGTCATTGAGGGCTGGTTCAGATACTTCATGATACCTATTTATTTAAGCTTCTGGGACTCTGTCCCCAGGGTGGTGTCCCCAGGGAGGGAGGCAAACAGGAGGAGAAAAGTGAAAACAGTGACCAAGACAGAGTTGAGCCCATGTCAAATAACTATGGGGTGACTCCTAAGAGGTCTCAGGATCTGAACTGGAATAGCCTAGATGAGCTCTTCAAATAATGGTGAGCTGGTGGCACACACCTTTCATCCCAGCACTTGGAAGGCAGAGGGAAGGCCAGCCTGGTCTACACTGTAAGATCCTGTCTCAAGATAAATAACCCCCACTACCATCATCACTGGGCCCAAGACGACTTCTGATGACTTGATGACATCATCCTGTCACATGTCACCCTTTGGAATGGAGCATTTTCCCTTATATGGAGAAGGGATATGAAGAATGAGTTTTACTCCCTTCCTGGATGAGACAGCCTAGGGGATCCCAACCCCCACGTGCCTGGAATTTCCGTGCTCTATCTCAAAGAATAATAAAGTCACTTCAAGAAATGCTGAGTTATGTGTTGCCAGGGCCCTGTAGGCCCCCTTTTTTTCCTTTTCTTCGTACTAAGATAATCCTTGACTCTGGGAGAAAGGCCAGCAAGAACTGGAGGCATTTAAAAAATGCAAGGCATCTCTGAGAATTCTGAAGACCTCACTCTGAAAACAAAGGCCAGCTCTGTCCCTTCAGAGACCCCCCTCACCCAGCTTTTCATTTGTTACTTAGGGAGATGGATATTCCTACCTTCCAGGTCATCGATTGTCTTCTCCAGTTTAGAAACTGTCCTCTCTGCAAACTCAGCTCGGGTCTCAGCCTAGGGAAGGAGAGAGTCACTACCTTGCCTCAGATGAGCCTCTCAAAAAGTAGGACATGGCTGGGTGTAGCCACACTCACCTCCTTCAGCTTGTCAGACAGAAGCTTAATTTCTTCTTCATATTTATCCTCCTTTTCAGAATACTGTGAGAGAAACCAAAAGGCAGTTCTTAAAAAGTGGGGAAGGAGGCTGGAGACATGGTTCAGAGGTTAAGAGCTCTTGATGTTTTTACAGAGGACTGGTGTTCAGTTCCTAGCTTCCACATGGCGGCTCACAACCATTTCTAACTTCACTGCTAGGGGACCTGACAACCGGCAGTTCAGATGTACATGTAGGCAAAACAGACACGTTAAATACTTTCAAAAAGGAAGGAGAGCTGGGGAGGTGACTAGGAATGAAGAAGCACTGCCTGGCAGTGAGGGCCGCAGCATCCACATAAAAGCTGGATGGTTAAGGCAATCCATCGTGGAGATGGATTCCCAGAGCAAGCTGGCTAGCTAGAGCAGCCAAACAGATGAGCTTCCGCTGAGAGATCCTGCCTCAGCAAGGCTCCCATTAACAAAGGTCTGCTTGCCCACACTCTGGTGTGGACTGAAGAGCAGAACAAGCACAGCAAGCTCCCCTCTATCTGACCTTTTCAGATGCAGCCTCCAGTGACTTCAGGTTGTTGGTGACATTCTTGAGCTCCTCTTCCAGATCGCCACACTTTCTGCACCAAGACAAACCTTGGTTTTCTCTCACATTATAGCAGGCAATTCCCTCCCAAGAAACCCCAAGTCCCCAAGGAATGCTGGAAGCTTATCGAACCCTCTCCTGCCGGATACAAGCAGAGGCAGGGCAGGAGGGCACTTGGAGGGTTTGTAAACCAAACTGGGCATCTGCCAGGAATGAGGCAATAGGAACTTATGAAATCTGTGACTGGCCAGGCTTTCTGAGGAAGGCGTGCAAATGAGATGAGGGCGGGAGTTGGGAGACGGCATTCAGAGTTCATACTAGACACTCCAGGAAGCAAGCCTAGAATGCATCTATGAACCCAGCCTACTCCCAGCCCTGCAGGGTTCTGTGTAGCTGGATCTCTGGTCCAAGGCCAAGGGAAGAGGCGGTCTGTTGTTAGGACCTGTGAGATTCTAGGTGAGCTACCCCAACAGGAATGTGTCAGGCACCAATACCAATATCAGCAGCAATGCCCTGAAACACTTGTGTGGCTGCCACAGACAGCATCTGTAAAGATCGCATGGCCTGGCGAAGCTAAGGAAAAGTCCAAGTTCCAGGACAGCCTGGTTATATAGTGAAACCTTGTTTCAAAAACTAAACAGCCAACAGGGAACACTGAGGAAGTGGGAGGGGCGATGTAAGAGCCAGAGGACTAGGAGAGCTGTGAGATGCTGCTTTCTGTGTCACATAGTGTTATTGCAAACTTATAGTAGCAGTGATTACCTACATAAGACCCACACAGGATGGGGCCTGTCAAAATTCCATCACAGAGGAGGAATGGGCTCATAAGGCCCACCCTCCCGTAGTTATCAGCAGTTAATGGCCTCTGGGGGGAGGAGGAGATGCATTTCTTAGTGGGGTAGCTATTCAGCAAGTTGCCTTGCTCAGGTAAATAAGCCCTACCCATGCACATGCTTGTGTGTGTGTGTGTGTGTGTGTGTGTGTGTGTGTGTAGCAGGTCATACACAAGAAGAAATGAAAGTTAAGAGGGGGTCAGTGGGAGGGCTAAAAGAGGTGTAGGAGGTATGATGCAAACAAAGTGTGTGTGTGTCTGTGTGTGTACACACATAAAATTTTGAAGAACAAAAATTTAAAAGCTCAGTTTGGTAGTGTGTGCCTGTCATCCTGGCAGCCAGGAATCAGAGGCAGGAGGACCAGGCATTCCAGGCTACAAGAGACCCTGTTTATCAAAACAAAAACAAAAACAGAAAGCAAAACAAAGCTCAATAGCCTTGGCTGGTGGAGGAAATTTCAGGGCCTCTACCCAATTTCCCAGTATCTTGGTGGGAAAATAACCCAGCAAAGTTTTCCCTTGGTAGTAAGAACCATCAGCAACCATGTTATGTCAACTGATGAAGCAAAAAAAGGAGGGATGAGCCCTGAACCCTGGATGGCCAAGCCTTTGAGCAGAGGGCCCTGCAGGCAATTACCAGCACAACCCCATTCTGCTACTTACAGTTCGGACACTTCCGCACGCTCCTCTGCTCTCTCCAGCTCGCCCTCCAGGATGACTAACTTACGAGCTACCTACAAAGACAGAAGGGCCAGCTGAGACCCATCCTACTATGTATGGGTCATTCCTTGCAGATGATGGCCCCTCCAAATCTAAGAGCTCTGGAGCCTGCAAATGGATGGAAAACCTCAGGTTCCCAGAGTGGGACAGGCAAGGAGAAGGGAGAGCTGAGTCACAGAATCATGGAGGGAGGAAGAAGGACCAGAGCCCAGTGTGGTGGTAACACTGTTATCCCTGTTTAGTAGGCCAGTTCCTAAACCTGATGGCTTACAATCCCAGCATTTGGGAGGCAGAGCCCCCCCCCACCAAAAAATTAAAAACTGGGAATTAAAGTTACCTCTGGCTATATAAAAGGGAGTTGGAGACCAGCCTGAGATACCTTAGACTCTTTCTTTAAAAACAAAGTTCAGCCATGTATAGTGGTTCATGCCTATAATCCTAGCACTTTGGAAATGGAAGCAGGAGGATAAGGACTTCAGAGGGTCATCCTTGCATTCTTTTCTACAAAGAACAGCCTACACTACAGAAGAACCTTTCTCAGAAAAAAAATAAATAAATAAAAGAACATAGACTGGAAAACCAAAACAAGATAACCAGTTCATACTTAGGATCCTACCACTTGGAAAGCTGAGGCAATGGACAGAGACAAGAGTTCATTGCTAGTCCAGGTATCAGGAATTCCAGGCCACCCAAGCTAGTGTGAGATACAAGAAGATACAAAAGGGACAGTAGAGCCTGACTGGCAGACATGACCCCCAGTGTTTGCAAACTGGTCTCACACCCAGCTTAACAGACAAGAGGAGTGAGCTGATCATTTGGTCTCCAGCAACTCAGACAAGAGGCCACAGTCCTTTTTTTTGGCACTGTCAAGATAGTTTTCCAGCTAAGTGACTGTGTCTGGGGACACAGATGTTCCCACAGAGGTAATCATCCTGAGTGTGCCTTCCGCTGGGTTCCTATCAGCTGCACCGTTTCCTCCCACTTCCTGCGGCCACACCCACTGGCCCCACTCACCTCCTCATATTTGCGGTCAGCCTCCTCGGCAATGTGCTTGGCCTCTTTGAGCTGCATCTCCTGGATCTCCATCTTCTCCTCATCTTTCATGGCTCGGTTCTCTATCACTTTCATGCCTCTGCAAAGGGGGTGGGTGGGGTGTTAGAGCCAGGTCTTCAAATGCCTCCACCCAGCACCAGGCAAGGATGAAAACCCTACTGTCAACTTCCACAGAGTTCACTGAGAAGCCGTTTGGTGTTGGGAACTGAACCCAGGTCCTCTGCAAGAGCAGTAAGTGTTCTTAACTGCAGGACCATCTCTCCAGCCCATATCTTTTTGAGATAGGTCTCTCACTGAATCTGGAGCTTGCTGTTCTCTATAGACTGGAAGGCCACAGAAACCCAGGGATCCTCCAATCTTTGCCTCTCCAGTGCCAGGATTACAGGCAAACACATACATCCATGTCCACCTTTTATGTGAGGATGGGGATATGAACTCAGTATCTCCGGCCTATTCAGCAAGCACTTCAACCACGGAGCCATATAGAGCAATCTTCCCAGACTCATGTTAATTTATTTATTTTTGAGACAGGGATCTCATATAGCCCAGGCTGACTTCAAACTCACTGTGCAGTCAAGGATAGCTTTGAATTCCTGATCTTCTTGTCTTGACATCCTCCTCAGTGCTGTGGTGATGGCCTTGCATCACCATACCTGGCTTATGTGGTGTTCGGGATCGAATCCAGCTTTGTGCAAGCATTCTTAGCAACTGAGCTTCCGTCTTACTCCCAAGACCCCTTTTATCAGGTCTTAGAAGACAGGGTTTTGCTACTTAGCCCAGGCTACTCCACCTGCCTCAGTCTTTGGGAGCACTAGAATGACAGACATGCATCATCTCCAAGTTTCGTGGTCTTCTAGACACTACCAAATACCCAGGTTTCACTATGTGGTGGGTCTACCCCCACCTTACAGATAAAAGAAACTGTGAAGTGGCTCCTCAGAGTGCACCCGTTTTGTATTCCTCTCAGAGAGACAAGCCTGGGCATCAGCAGTCACTATGGAGTGTGCAGCCACACCTTCGGGAATGTTGAGCAGGTGTAGTAGGAACTGAAGGGAAGCTACAGAAGGCTTTCTAGAGCCCTTATTACCTACATGAGGCTGCACTAAGGGTAAGGAGACAATTGGAGGGGCCTGCAGGTAAGCGTGGCCCACCTCTGACATCTCAGCACTTGGGAGACTGAGACAGACCTCTGAGTTCCAGACAAGCCTGGCTCTCTAGCGGGATCTTGTTTCCATAAAACAAAACTTAAAAAAAAAAAAGAAAAGCCAACAATAAACCCAGAGCTACACTGTGTGTGGTGTTGGACACCTTTAGTCCCAGCTCTCAGGCGGCAGAAGCAAGGGGATCCCTGTGGGTTTCAGGCCAGCTGGGGCTATACAGTGAGACTGTTAAAGCACAAAAAGAGAAACAAAGAAACAACCTCCGAACCAACCAACCAACAACGACCCTTCCCCCCCACAAAACAAAACAAAACAAAACATGAAGACACACAGAAGAGCTACAGAAGTAAAGCACATGCCCAGGATGGGCAGGATGTTCATGCTGGGGAGAAAGGGTTACTGGAAACTTCAAGAGACTGGACCTAATGGAAACAAAATACACAAGCTGCAGTGCAAAGACCACAGGGAAGGCAGGTACAACCTGGGCAGCCCAAAGTGCTGAAAAATAAACTAACTTTGAAATGTACTACCATGCCTGGCTTTCAAAACAAACTTTTTTTTTTTTTTTTTTTTTTTTTTTTTTTGGGTCATGCAGGGAATAGAACTCAATGCTGTGTGAATCCTAAGCAAGAGTCCTACCACAAAGGCCCACCCACAACCTGAACCTTTAAGCAGTCATAGCACAAATGGAAGATTCCTCATGCAACAGGCCATTGTTAAAAGGAGGGCACACTAGAAATGCATGAAATGACCCCCCCCCAAGTCCCTGGGTAGAAGGGATGGAGGATGTGTATGGCCTTCCTGTTTAGACAGGAAGATACCTCATTATACATATGTAAACATCTCCAAATCTAGAAACACCCAAACTCCTAAGTACTTTCTGTCCCAAGCATTTCAGACAAATGACTTATGAATATCCAGGTCAGAAAAGATGATGCCCTAGGGCAGCCAGAAAAACTCAGCTGCCTCAGCAAAGCTTACCCTGGCTGAGCTGCACAAAGCAGAACAGAGGAGGTCCTGGGGTCATGGCCCACATGCTTCCACACAAGTATGATACCTGATGCTCCTCCCAGCACCACACAAAACCACTGTAGGGAGGTGTGGACAGCATCCCTGGAGCTCACTGACCAGACATATGGCTGACTGGATGAGCTGTCTCAAAAAGCAGGATGGAGAGAGCCAGAGAGAGCTCAGAGGGTATAGCACTTGTCACCACCAGTCTTGACAACAGGGAGAACCCACTCCTCCAAGGTGTTCTGACCTCCACATATGTGCTGTGGCACATACAAGTGAAATACATGTCCCAGGACAGCCAGGACCCTTCTTCACACACACACACACACACACACACACACACACACACACACACACCAGCCAAAGATATGCCAGGCAGTGGTGGCGCACACCTTTAATCCCAGCACTTGGGAGGCAGAAGCAGTCAGACCTCTGTGAATTCAAGGCCAGCCTGGTCTATAAGAGTTAATTCCAGGGCAGCTTCCAAAGCTACACAGGGAAACCCTGTCTCAAAATAAAAAAATAAATAAATAAAACAACACACACACACACACACACACACACACACACACACCCTGTGGAATATGACAAAACCCCTGATTTATTTATTATTATAATTGCACATTGATTTGTGTGTGAGTGCATACACCCCAGCTTAAGAGTGGGGGCTGAAAAACCTGCAGGGGTTGGCTCTCCTTCCACAGTGCGGGTCCCAAACACTTACTGAACTTGGGCTGTCACACTTGGCAGCAAGTACGTTTACCCACTGAGCAATCTCACTGGCTTGTCTTTCGTTTTTAATATTTATTTTATTACTTTTAATTATGTGTTCGTGCATATATGTGAGTGCAGGTGCCCACAGAATTCAGAGGTACTGTGTTCACTGGAGCTGAAGTTACAGGTAGTTGTGAGCTGCCCAATATGGGCAGTGTGTGCATCAGCCATGGCACAGATGTGGAGGTCAGAAGACAATTTGTAGGAGTCGGTTCTCTCCTTCCACCATGTGAGACCCAGGGATTGAATTCAGGTCCTGAGACTTGGCAGCAAGTGCCTCTACCTGCTGGACCACCTCAACAGCCCAAGTGAACTTTCCTAGTGTTGAGTATATTACACGGGTCCTCTCATGTGCTAGGCAGGAGCTCACCATCAAGCAGCACTGCAGCTCTTGGTTGGTATCTAGTATCTGGTTTGTATGTTCACAGCATGTCTGAGCTCAGTTCTTTGGGAGGAGCCTACACTGGGAAACCTTCAGTATTGGGCTGGCTGGCCACACTGACCACTGTTGGAGATTCCGTATCTGTGTGTTCTGCCCTCAGCTCTCCAAGCTGAGACACACCAGTCACTCAGTCCGGGGGACAGGAGGACAGAGCTCCCTGTGGAAGCTGAAATATAGCACAGATGCCACCAGAACAGCACAATCAGCTGTACACACAGCAAAGGCTGGTTATACACTGTTCTCAAAATACAGCTGTCATCATTCAGAAGCTAAAGCCGGCCACAGCAATGGGAACTACCATTTAGGCATATGGCAGAGCCCACCCTCTCCTGCCTCCCTGGGATAAAGGGTGCACTGCTACGCTTGTCCAGTCCACCTTCACTTCCTCTTTTCTCCACATTAGAAACCCCGTTTTCTCTAGAGTGGGGACCAGAGGCATGGTGGTGTCCCCAGGAAGAAGCAGCACACTGAGGTCCCAACCCCACACCTGTACATTGTTGCTCCTCTCTGCCTGCTGGAGCATGTTCTCCTGGACCATTATCAAAACAAAACAACACAAACCCAAGCTGGCCACATGTTGGAGCATCTGTCATCCCAGCACTCAGGTGGCTGAGGCAGGAAGGTTGCTAGGAGTTAAAGCAAACAAATAAATCCTAAAATCACCACAAAGTGAGGTGTCTATAGGGCTGTCACACATCTATAAGATCTCATTGGCTTTCCCTTCAGTTCCCAAGTCACCAGTGCCATCTCACTTCTTTTTCCATCCAAAATTTGTGTGTGATTTGGAAGGTCAGAGGACGCCAAGCATCCTGTCTATCACTCTGTCTTAGAGCCTTCAGACCGGGGCTCTCACTGACCCTGAAGGTAGGCTGGCAGCCAACGAGCCCCAGCATCCTCCTGTGTAAACACAATAGGCCTATGCTGGGCATTTAAGTGCTTATATACTGAGCCTTCAGCCCTCAACACACACCTTTTTAAAAGTCAGGATGGGCCTCATGTAGCCCAGGTTGACCTGGAACTCTCCACCCTCCCCAGCATTGGGCCCAAAGGGGTGCACCACCACACCTGGCTCTATCTCCAGACTCCCACAGGTCACATGCATCCTACCTACCTCTCACTCTCATCTGCAGCCTTCTCTGCCTCCTCCAGCTTCTGCAGGGCTGTGGCCAGTCGCTCCTGAGCCCGGTCCAGTTCTTCCTCCACCAGCTGGATGCGGCGATTGAGAGCGGCCACATCTCCTTCCGCCTGGGAAGTCAGAGTGCACCAGCCAGGTTAAGAAATGGCAAGCTGTCAAGCAGCCGTCCCCACCGCACAGTCCCTGATACCCTGTCACAGCCCACATCTGAATTTAAATATGCTTTTTAAAAATTACTGTTCTGTGACACAGGCCTTCACAAATTGGACAGGCTGGTCTCCAGCTCAGGGATCCTCCTGCTTCAGTCTCCTGGGTGCTGACATTATAGGCAAGTCACAGCATCCAGCCTCTCTGGAGAACATAAAATATCAGTCTCCCTGAAAACTTCAGGGAATTCACTTTGTGACTGATGGCCAACCAAGTCAACATAGGAGAGACCACTTGTGCAGCTATCATGTCCTGAATAAGAATCTAACTGCACAGTAAAAAGAAAACCAAGCCTGGGGTAGCGCACACCTAGATCCCAGCACTTGGAAGGCATAGGCAGGAGGATCTCTGTGATCTCTGTGAATTCCAGGCCAGCCAGAAACACAGTGAGACCCTGTCTCCAAAAAAAAAAAAAAAGGAAGAAAGGGGCTCACTGTTGGTGGGGCACGCCTTTAGTCCCAGCACCAGCACTCTGGAGACAGAGGCAGGTGGATCTCTGTGAGTTTAAGTCCAGGCTGGTCTACATAAGTAGTCTAGGACAGGCTCCAAAGCTACAGAGAAACCCTGTCTCAAAAAAAAAAAAAAAAAAAAAAAAAAAAAAAAAAAAAAGGTAGAAAGGAAAGTCCGGCCTGTTGGTACATTCCTAACATCTCAACACTCTGAAGGTAACAGGATAGCCAAATGGAGGCCAGTCTCAGCTACAGACCCCAAAACCCAAAACAGACTCAGTATTAGGGTGAATTCCAGAAGGTTCTCAGGCTCAAGGTAGGATTCTTAAAAAGGCTGCTGGATGCACAACAGGGACCCAGCTGAGCATGTCACAGAGTCTGCTCCCATACAGCAAGCGGTCCAGCCCACTGAGAGGCCAAGAAACTTGGGTAGTATGAGAAAGGAAAGGATGCTGCACTAAAGGCACAGGACACACTGAGCAGTGCTACCAGCTTCTTGGTGTTTTGTTGTTTGTAGTTGCTCCTCCATAGTGGGAGAGGGGCCTGGGGCTGTGTGCACACTCAGTGAGCATGCTTTCAGGGGGGCTTTCATAGCATGCAGAAAAGAAGGAGCTCTGGGGTCAGCTGGGTAGAGGGATCTCTCACAGACGGTACCTCATACACCCATTAACTCTCACAGACTGAGCATTTCACAGGACTAAGGGCTACGACCAAAGTGACCAAAGGCTGTAGCATGCTTATCCCTCACATGGGAAAGATGATGGGGGCAGGGTGGGAATCCTTACTGCTGTTTTGTCTTTTTTTTTTTTCTGAATTACATTCATCGTGTGTGTGTGCATGTGCTCGCGTGCGCGTTTAAGGGGGGACCTGTGTGGCAGTCAGGGGACAACTTTTAGGGTTGGTTCTGCTCTCCCACCATGTCCTGAGATTCAAACTCAAGGCAATGTTGCTGTTGGTAAGCACCTTTAACAACTGAGCCATCTTCCTGGTCCTGGTATTGTTTTATCTTCAAGTCTCACCCATCTTACGAGTGGGGACACAAGGTCCCATCAGTGCAGTGGTTTCGTTCAGTGACTTGGGACTGATAAGCCCCTTCTTTCTCTGTTCCTCAGAGGCTTGGGGATTGAACTCTGGCCATCAGCCTTGTTGGCAAGTACCTCTACCCAGCTGAACCGTCTCAGTGGCCCATAGGTGCCTCTTTTTAATGTCTTAAACCTCAATATCAAACTCCAACAACTAGGGCAGGATTGGTTCCCACCCGCTACAGTTTCTGGTATATTAGCAAAAGTACACAGCAAGGACTACTATTATCTAATCTGTTAACTTTTGCCATTTTTCAAAATGAACCTTGTACCCACTTGCAGTCAATAGTTTTTTGAATCATGGTCTAATATAGTTCGGGCTGGCCTTGAACTTCTGATGTCTCTGCCTGAAACTCTCAAGTGCTGGGACCACCTTCACCCAGCCCTGGAGATGGCACCTGGGTTTTGTGCGTGCTAAACAAGCACTGTACCACTCAGGGACAGCCCTAGCCTCTGGAGTAGAGGGGGCTGGAGATGTGCAAGGCCACACCCAGGATAGTAATCAACTTTGACAGTCACACTGAGTTTCTTGATTCATGAGTTGTCTCAAAGAAAAGAGAAAGAATTTAGATTGATGAAGCACATTCTGAATCTTGGCACATTTTCAACTGCTTAAAATCGAAAGAAATTTCGTTCATAAACATGCATTAACGGCAGCGCCTGAGGGCACGGGACACACACACACACACACACACACACACACACACCCGCAGCACATGCGGGCACCGGATGAATGGACACACACACACACACACACACACACACACACACACACACACAAACTACACTAGCCCCCACCTCCAGGCTAGTCATCCTGAGTTCCGCCCCTTCCTGCAATCAAAGCCTTCCACGGGCTACAAAGGGTTTCCCTTATAAGGTAAAAGAGGCTCGCTAGATACTTGTGGCCAAGGAACAGGAAGACGTCGGTTAATCACACAAAAATCTAAATGAAACCAGCTGCTGGGACACAGTCCCAGAAGTCTGCCACATGCCCCCCCCCCATTTCTGGTCTGGGTGCTTCTGGCCTGGAATCAACTTAAGAAGTCTTTCCACAAGGAAGAGAAGTACACTTTGTCACATGAACTTTTAAAGAAGCCCCAAGTTTTCCAAAAAGCACTCCCCCGCACCCCACCCCCGGGCCGCCAAATTCCTGGCTTGGCTGGAGATTCGGGGCCATTTTGGAGCTGTCTAGGGTGGGACTGGAGCGTGAAAGGCCAGAACCGCTACTGTGTGGAGTTTCCACCCGGTGCTGAGGCTTCCTCCAGCCAAAGCTGCCCTTGAGGGATTCAAGGTTTCTACTCAGGCCAGGCTGTCGCCCAGGCCGCCTCGGGAGGACTCCAGGCGGTGCCTGCGCTGCCAGATCCACCTGGCCTGGCAGTTTCTAGGGTCCCCGCCCTGAGTCTTTGCACTCCGGCTTTCAGAGTCCCTGGACATCCCTCCCCCCCACCCCAAGATCTCTCCCTTGTCTGAGAGGCTCCTTAGCCAGGACACGCGGCTTTAGTGCCCAGCCTGGGGAACCGTCCGCAATGCATAGTCTTGTCTGCCCACCCACCTTTAGCGGACTTTAGGGAGAGAAACGAGAATCGAGTGCCTTGTGGGTGCCAGGGCTGAGTTATTAGAACCCAGATCTGGCCCCGGCCCCGGGCTTGACCCAGAGATGAAGACGAGGGTGCGGAGGCCGCTTCCTCTTTCGGAGCTATTCATGCTCCCGGGTCCCGGACTCCCTGCGAAGGCGCATTCTGTGAGCGCTCCGACTCTGGCGGGTGGAGAGGCCCCTAGTGGGTATTCCCAGGGGCGTCTGGAGACTAGGTGAGGGGGTGCTGTAGGCCTGCGCCCAGATACTCCTGCCCCCCACCCCGCCCTCAGCGGACACGTCGCGACCGCACCCCAGGGACGCGCGGGCCGGGAAAGTTCGGGCGCGAAGGAGCGCGAGCGCGCGCCACCCCGCCCCCACCGCGGTCCGGCCGCAGACAATGGGAGCGCGGCGTCCGCCCGGCCGCCAGGGAGAGCCCCACGCGGGACTGCCCCGTCCCATGGCCCCGTTTCCCGCCCAGTGAGCGTACGGCGCCCGCTCCGGGGTCCTGGGTTGCGGATGACCCAGGCGGAGGACGGAGGGAGGGAAGGAGAGAGGGAGAGAGAGCTGAAGCGCACGGAGCCGGGGAGAAAGGAGGGCGCGCGGGAGCGCGGCGGGGGCCCAGGAGCGCGCGGGGCTGCAGCGCGGGACGAAAGCTGGGGTCGCGCGGGGCTCGGGGACGGCGCGGGCCCGGGTCGCTCACTTTCTCGCGCCGCTCGCGCTCGCCGTCCAGCTCGCGCTGCAGGCCCTGCGCGCGGTCTTCCGCGTCGTCCGCCTGCTGCTGCAGGGCCTGGATCTTGCGCTTCACCGCCTCCAGCGAGTTGAGGCCGGCCATGGCGCGCTCGCTCCGCTGGGCTCCGGCGACAGCTGGGCGGCCGCGCCCGGGCCCGCGAGCCTTGGCCACGCCGGGGCCGCCCCCGCCTCTCCCCGCCCCCGGCCGCTGCCGTCGGGACGATGAGGTCACCCCGGCCGGCCCGCGACGTCAGCACCGGGCGGGGGGAGGGCTGACGTCGGCACCGCTGCTCTCAGCTGCCCTGAGGGCTCCCTCGCGTCCCGCACGGCCTGCCCCGCCCCGCCTTGCCCGAGCGGGCGCCCGCAACTGCGCTTACATCCGAGGCTTTCTTCTCCGCCAGTTCTAGCTTCTCCTGCGCGTCTTTCAGGTCCTCAGAGTGCCTGTCCAGCTCGTCCTCCGCGCCCTTCAGTTTCTTCTGAAGGTGCGTCAGCTCTTCTTCCACCTGGGTGCACAGGAGAACGAGTCAGCCTAAGGGTCTGTGTCCCAGCTCTCTCTGCCTCAGTTTCCTTATCTGTAAAGGATGGGCGTGGTGGTGCACGCCTGTCACCCAGCGTTTGGGAGGTTGAGGCAGAGGGATTGGGAGTTTGAAACCCTGCCAAGAAACAAAGTCTTGATGAGCTGGTGAGATGGCTCAGCTGGAAAAAGCCGGTGCTGCCAAGCCTGACACCACCCGGGGTCCATCCACAGAACCCACTCCCACAAGCTGCCCTCTGCCCTCACCCATGCGCCCCCCCCACAGCAATGTAGAAAATAAACAGTATATATAGACAGGTCTCTCACAGAGGACACAGGTTTGATTCCCAGTTCCTGTTCCAGGAGACCCAACACTCTCCTCTGACCTCCATGACACCGCTGCACAGGCATGCACGCAGGCAAAACACCCACACACGTAAAATAAAAATAAATCATCCACACATTGAATTCTTAGACTCACCAGCATTCCCATTCTCTTGAGAAAGGCAGAACCTCACTTTGTTAGTAAACACTGCAAATTCCATTTTGCATTCCCATTTTCAGAATGCCGCTGTCGGTGATCTCTGTTTACGCTAAGTGGAGCTTTTGGGTGTCTCGCTGAGTTTCATAGTCAGAGAGATGAAATTTCTAGTCATGTGCCGGCCTGTCTCCCTGCCGAGAATCTTCTGTGGCTCCCCATTGCCCCGGAGAGCCCTGAACCTGTTCCAGCCTGGCCTTGTGAGCTCTGCTGGAAGAGACTTACCCTTCAGAGACCAATTCCCTTAAAAGCTCAAGTTCCCCCTCCTCCAGTTTTTGCACATTTGCCGTGAATCCGTTTGAATGAACACATCCCTTAACCTCTCCAGACTGTAGTCCTATTTGTCCTGAGGGTCTGTCCCCAACTTGCTGTTTGGGGTGTTCCATCCATCTCTCTCACAGTCACCCAGTTCTTCAGAGTCAGGAAGCCACCCAGCCTCCCTTACACCTCCTAGCTGCCAGGGCCACTCCTGTATTTCATCCAGTGCAGCCTACTGTATGAGGCTCCAAGCAGGCCTACTGTGGCTCAGCAGGGAGCACACAGGGTGGCTGCCTTTCCCTAGGCTACCAGGACTAGAACCCAGTTCTCAAAATAAACTTGCTGGGGACTGAATGCTCACACCAAGACTGATCCCTGTGGACAGTAAGTGTTAACTAAGATGATAATCAGCTGAGTCTCTGTGTGTGTGTGTGTGTGTGTGTGTGTGTGTGAGAGAGAGAGAGAGAGAGAGAAAGCATGCAAAGCAGGCAAGAGAACATTAAATGCTGTCTACTCTTTTTTTTTTTTTTTTTTTTTTTTTTTCTTCTTCCTGTTTTTGGTTTTTCAAGATGGGATTTCACTGTGTATCTGTGTATCCCTGGCTGTACTGGAAGTCACTCTATAGACCAGGCTGGCCTTGAACTGGCAAGGATCTGCCTGCCTCTGAGTACTGTGATTAAAGGTGTGTGCCACCATGCCTGGCTGCTGCCCACATTTTTTAATTTTAATTTCTGAAGATGGGGGTCTCACTGTGTAGGTCTGCTGCTTCTGCCTCCCCACACCGGTTAATGCTTGTTTTCTTCTCTCCCAAAGGGAGTGTGTTGTATGAGGGGGCACCTGGGAGGTCCTGAGCACTCCTCAGTGGGTAGGAGTTAAAGTCCACCCTGGGGGGAGTGAGGGGGGGAGAGACAGGCCTGACATAGAGGCTCAGTTGAAGCCACCCAGGAGTCCCGGATGAGCAGGTCCAACTGGCTTGTGTGACAACCCAAGGCCACTCCTATACAGTCCCAGTCTGTCACTATGGTAGATGTGACTGGGCCATCTCATCTTTCCTAGAACTTCAGGCTAAAGCCAGTGCCCTGACTCCCAGGAAGAGAACCCCAGATATGTGACTCTTGACCCCTTTTCTGGCCTTGGTTTCCCCATCTGCAGAATGGAAACCTTGGTCTGGTGACCTCTGAACACTCTGGAGCAGGAAGCTGACTTTGACTAAGAATGAGTCATTTTCCTTAAGGACATCTCCCAGAGCAGGGCTGGCCCTCACCACCCTGTCTTCCTTCTGGATCTGTAGGATGGAATATTTATTGATCATCTACTGTATACCAAGCATGGGTACTCTCTGTGTGAAACAGATATGACCCCATTGGACTCAGAGGCTGTAAAGAATTTGAGAAGGGCTTTGTATGCTTTAAAAAAAAAGGTGTGTGTGTATGTGTGTGTGTGTGAGTGTGTACATGAGTGTAGGTGCCTGCAGAGGTGTTCGACCCTCTGGAACTGGAGTTACAGGTGAGTTGCTTAATTCAGGTGCTGGCAACTGAATTTGGGTCCTCTGTAAGAGCAGCCAGTGCTGTTAGCCACAGACCCATCACTCCAGTCCCTGTTTGATTTTTGAGGCTGGGTCTCACATAGCCCAGGGTATCCTCCACCTCTCTATACAGCCAGGGATGAGCTTGAATTCCTGACCCTTCTGTCTCCACCTCCATCGTGCTGGGGACAGGCATGTGTCCCTTTACCTGGCTGGGTACCTGACTGAGTTCCTGATGTTTTGGGAGACAACACTTGAACAAGAAAGTTGAGAGCTTACATAGACATACAGGCTCACTGAAGTGCTATGTTACAGAGTGGCAAACTGAGTCCCTGAAAGGGGAATGGACTCCAGGATCACACGAGTGGAACTTGGGTGTCAGTGCTGGTTTGACTGCTATGTTCTGCTGTCCATACCTTTTGCTGTCAGTCCACCTATCCCTAGTGTCCCCAGGCTCCTCCCTCTGCCATCCTGAGACTAGGGATGTCTCTGAGAACCAGGTTTACAGGGCTCCAGCAGCAGAACACAGCACGATGTGATCTTTAATATGTGTGTGGTGTGTATGAGTGTTTTGAGGTAGGGTCTCTCACTGGAACTCAAATCCACTAATTTGGCTAGCCTGGAAGGGCAAGGAACCCCCAGATCCCCAGTGGGGTTACAGACATGTTCTGCTGGGCTCTTAATAGGATCTGGGATCCAAACTCAAGTCCTCATGCTTGTGTGACAAGCACTTTACCCATTGTGCCATCTCCCCAACCCCCAAGAATTTGTTGATTAGATCAGTGACACCCTCCAAAGCTTCCAGTGGTAGGATGTGGGTATGAAAAAGTAAACAGATACAATAGGAACCGGACTGTTTTCCTTTTGTCCAAATTTCATGCTCAAAGCATGTGGGTGTGCAGCTTTCCCTAGCCAACCACTGTGCTTTGGGCCTCAGTTTCCCTCCCAGTAAAGTGGTCATAGGATACACAGTTTAGTGAGGTGGAGGTAGGATATGGGGTCAGAGGGCAGCAGGAACGGATGTTGCTGCCCTGAGTTGGGAGTAGGCAGGAAACATCAGGGCTAGTTTTCCATCCTACCTCCACACTGGACAGACACAACCAGGAACCGGATCTGGCTGGAGGTCCCTGGGGGGGGCACAGGGGCAGGGGTTGGTTCCGATGGTTCCTGATTGGCTCGCTCTGTCCTCCCACAGTGGTAGGCCCTCTAGGGAAGGGGAGTCCATGTTGGCATCTGTACCCACCCTGCAGCCTCTATCACCAGGCAGGACTGACTTAACTTTCTGCCCCAGCATCCCAAGGTTTCATTAAGGGCCTGCAGCCAGGTGCAGTGGTAGACACCTGTCATTCCAGCACTTGGGAAGTTCAGACAGGAGGATCGCTGTGGATTGCAGGCTAGCCTGTGCTACATAGTTGGACCATGTGTCAAAAAACCATACCATGGAGGTGACCCAGTGGATGAAGGTGCTCAAGCCAAGTTTGACACCCTGAGTTCAGTCCCAGGACCCAGGAGGTGGACGAAGAGAACCAACTCCTAAAAGTTGTCCTCAGATTTTCCCACATAACATGGGAGTGGCCTGGATTTGAACCTAAGTCACTCCAAGCAGCTTGCTTGAGAAAAAGACTTGGAAAATACAGAAGAAAAAACAAAGTCCAGGACAGGGGAGATGGCTCAGTGGGTAAGAACACTGTAAAGCACAAACTTGATGATCTGAGTTCAAATCCCCCCACACTGATGCACATGTGTTGTAACCCCAGCACTATGCATGTGTGTGTGTTGCGGGGGGAGTTGACCATCACTGGCCATCAGGCTGGCTAGCTCCAGGGCCATCAAGAGACCCTGCCTTAGGGGATAAGGCAGAGGATGCTAGAGTGGGACACCAGGCATGTTTCTCTGCTATCTGGGACACAGACATGTGTCTAACACACACACACACACACACACACAGAGAGAGAGAGAGAGAGAGAGAGAGAGAGAGAGAGAAATTCAGCGAGAAGCAGGACAAACTGCCACTATTTTGGTCACGGAGCTGGCTGGGAACTGTGAGAGTCCTATCTTTGAGTACTAGGTTCCCTTGGGAAAGTGGCTAGATCAACCAGTCACAAGTTAGTGAGAAGTGGAGCCATAGACTTACTTTTCTATTCCCCAAGCCTTTATGACAAGGACATGAGGGTTGGGTGAAATGCAGCATTCACACACCACACAGACATGGGCACACAGTCCGGCCTAGGACAGGGCTAGGCTGTTTGCCAGGGAAGGAGGAGGGGTGGGGCTAGCCTACACAAATGTGCCACACAGGTTCTCTGGGCAGTCCTGGGACAGTGGGGGGTGGGGAGGCCCACAG